TTGCTAAAATAATTTATTATTCATGAAAAAAGTAAAATATAATTAATGTTTTTTTCCTTTCTGAAAATACTTCTCAAAACAAAAAAAAATTCAATAATAATGAAGATGATAAAAGAAATATTGTTCTAAACTTTCTTTAATTGTTAAAAGTATATTTGTTCATTACATGAATTTGTAAATAAATAGTGTTTGATGTAAACAAATGCTGGAGAAAATCAATTAAATAAAAATTTTGTATTTCTAACGTTTATGAATAAGATAACTGATAAAGAATTTAATCATCCATTGTTATATATTATTATATTACATTAATAATGACTCGAAAACACTATCGACATAGTTAAATTACTTGAGAACGAAATTAATTCAAAATCTATTGAACAATCTAAACAAGTAAATATTTATTATGAAGATTTAATATTGATACAAACAAAAATCTATTTAGATAAAATGTAATATTATAGATCTTGGAATAATTGATGATGAAATATCGGAAAATATTTTAATCTCATTTGATAATCTTCGTATTCCATCTGAATTTAATAAAATAATTCCATTTATATCAACATTAAAACAAGTTCAATCTTATGAAGATATTTATCTTCGTCGTTATATTCGTTCTTCAATAATTCCATTAGAAGATTTTTATCAAAGAATTTCTAATCGAATAAATCAAACAGATATTGATAAACGTGATTTATTATTACTTGAATTATTAAAATGGTTTAAAGAAGAATTTTTTAGTTGGTTTGATCGTCCGAATTGTGATCGATGTCAAAAATTAATGAACTTTTTTCAATATGTTCAACCAACAAGAGAAGAACGAGAACAAGGAGATGCACATAAAGTCGAACTTTATAAGTAAACAAACTTTGTTTTTCTAACTTTTTATTGTTGAAAATTTATTTCTTAAAGATGTTCAACATGTTCATCTCAATATCGTTTTCCTCGTTTCAATGCTCCATTAAAGTTATTAGAAACTCGTTGTGGCCGTTGTGGTGAAGCTGCAAATCTTTTTACTTGTCTTTGTCGTTCGTTATCATTTGAAAGTCGTTATATTTATGATACAACTGATCATGTTTGGACTGAAGTTTATTCTGAAAATCAACGTCGATGGCTTCATTGTGATTCATGTGAAAATCTTTGTGATTCTCCACTTATTTATGAAAAAGGATGGAAAAAAGATTTATCATATTGTATTGCTTTTGCTAAAGATCATATTGAAGATGTTACTTGGAGATATGTTACTCATTTTAAACAAACAATATTAAGAAGAAATATTAATGAAAATATTTTTGCCAAAACTCTTTCTCAAATTAATCAACAACTTCAATTACAACTTAATCAACAAGAAAAAAACAAAATAATATCCATGTATATTTATCCACTTCAACTTTTGTTTTTGACTTTTAAAGTTTTTTTTTATTTTTTATTTTTTTTTTGTTAAAGTCGAATTCAAGATATAGTTAGTATGTTACATGAAGAAAAATTAACAAAAGAAAGTGAATTACATGGAAGACAAAGTGGTTCACTTGCTTGGAAATTAGCACGAGGAGAAACAGATCAACAAGTTATTTATTTCATTTAAATTATTATTATTATTATTTATTGTTTTTGTTTTCATATAATTTATATTATAGGATGATATAACAAATGGATTTGTTTATTCAATAAATAATGAAGAATGTGAAAAAGGTTTTATTTCTATTGAATATAATTCAATATTAGATAAATATTTTCGTAATGGTATTGAAGAAAATAAAAAAGATGGATGGATTGATAAAGTTTATTCATCTTCAAATATTCAAAGAAAAATTGAAAAAGATTGGAAAATGGTTTATTTATCAAGAAAAAAATTAAATAATAATGGAATTATTTCATGGTTTATACAATTTAAATCTGAACAAGAACAATTTTATCAATTTCATCGAATAAATATTCAATGTCCATCAACAACTTTTGATCAATATGCTCAAGTTATTTGTCAATTACAAATTGGAGATCAACAATTTATTGATTTACCACAAAGTATTTTTCAAATTTATTTTATTGAATTTTATTAAAGTTTTTTATTTTTTTTATTTTAAATTTAGATTCAAATTCATCATTTGAATATATTATAGATGAGAAAATAAATTCTTTATCAAATACTCGAATTACTTTTAAAATAATATTAACAAGTTCAAATGACAATAATGATGATAATGCTTGGCAAAAAGTTCAATTATTTCGACAATCAATAGAACAAATATCAGATGATGATCAATCACATTTTCTTAAAATAAATGCTACTATTATTAAAAAACATTCAAATTAATTTAATTATAGATTATTTTTAGTTTTTATTTAACAACTTTATAATAAATGTGATGGGTTTATCGGGTATTTAAGAGAAAATCGATCTTGCAGTATTTCAACAATATCTATTTTTATATTCATTTATTCAGACTTTTTTTTTTTGTGCTTCAAAAAACTCTTCTTTTAATTCTCTACAAAATAGTATAGTTTTCGTTAATATAAATAACATCTATTATTTTCGAAAACAAACTTCAAAATGAACAGTCCAATATGAATATTTGTGTAAAACAACTTTTTTGTAGATTTTTTTCTAAAGACACTTTACAATTCTTCAATACGAAATAAGTAAAATCATCTCTAATTGAACTATTCAACTAGCTTAGGTGTGGATTATTCAGTGATTAATATTTATTGTTAACGAAAAGATTGAAACTTGTCATGACACTATTATTGTGTTAATTAAATAATATGACGTTTCACATCGTTCAAGTGAAATTTTCACTTTATTTTGAAGATTTCATTTCTATATTTTAATGCTATTTGAAGCACATCATGTATTTATGGTGTGGAATTTAATGCCCTGGAGTTAAAAGTGATCATTAGTGTCAGATTGAATATTTCACTTGAACGATGTGAAACTTCATATTATGTCAAGACAAATTTCCTTCTTTTCATTAACAAGAAATATTAGTCATCGAATAATTCACATCTAAGCTAGTTGAACAGTTCAGTTAGAGGTAATTTTACTTATTTTTTTGAATGGAGAAAAGTAGCACTGTGCAATATTCGTATTGAAGAATTGAAACATCTTTAGAAAAAAATTGATAAAAATTTGTTTTACTGTTTTATACAGAATTAAAAGAGATCTTTGTTAAAATACTGCGAAGCCCATTTTCTCTGAAACAACCGATATTCATTTTTATTACTACTAAAATCTTCTTTCCTGACACGAATCTTAACATTCTACATAATTATTATCATAGATGTGGAATCATGAGATCTGAGTAAGCTGGAGCTTACTTTAGATTGGACAAATTAAGACTTTAGTAGACTCAAACTCATCTTATATTGGGTAAATAAGAGTTTGAAAAGGCTCTATTTAATATAAATATTTTCTATTACTGTTTAATTTTCATTTTCTTTTGACAGATCATGCATTGTAAGAAAGTCAGTACACATTTTTATCTACCACTAACTCGTGTCTAATGAGCATAGACGGCAGAGCCACAAGGCTTCCGTAGGCTCAAATACTTTTCTCTCTTCGTCAGATCGATAGAGTTGAGCAGCACATTATATTTCTTATACAAATGTCAATATTTTTCACCGTGTTCAACGGCTACTAATAACATTTTCTTAATTAGACAGACGTAGCAAAACGTTTTCGAGAAAATATTGACATCTTTACTAGTAAGTATCGGATTGTAAGTCGGTAATGATTTGAAGCGGCTATGGGCACTCGAGTGTATATAGTCACTTTCTAAATCAAAACTTCACACTATCTCTTCGTAAGCGGTATATATCGCACAACGTATTGTAACAAAGTAGTCTTTCCTTTTTATTCTCGATAACCATTCTCATCGACGTCTTAGCTATTTTTATTTTTATTATTTGATCATTACTTAAATGATTGCCGTCAACACCTTTGTTTTATGAAAATTTATGAAGATGAGAGCGATGAAGGAATGCACACCAAGAAATAACACTAGAGATTTTTTTCTGAGTGCGGCTACTAAATAGTTGATATTTTTATTGCTTATTTAGTCATACACATAGGAATGATACGTATTGATGGGACAAAAAACTGAAGCCTTGAGCTGGTGACTTCAAGTCTGAGTCTATCGGATACCGATTTGGATTCCATGACTGATATTTCCGCGCCCCGGTGTTGGTGAGTAAAGAAGGGACGGACATTCACATCCATAGCCACAGCGTCTCCCACACATTCAAGAGAACAGTGTAGGTGCGGAAACGAGTGTGGTTGTTAGTATGGATACTGTCATATCTTCACTCACACCCACATTCTCAACTAACATCCCTAATCAATAGCATCAATCACAAAACATATAGAATGTCGAAGAGACACAGGACGTGTGCCCATGCCTATGCGAAAAAAAGCAGAAATCTGGAAAAGTTTAAACAAAATAATCAAGAGAAAGAATTTCATTAATTTCTTTCCCGGAATCCTAGATCGAAACAATAGATTCAAGCAGAAATAGTAAGAAAATTAAAGAGATATGCAGTAGCAGTGAGGTAAATCACACGAGAACCATTGCGCAATATTTTTTATGACTATTTCAGTCTTTTTTTTCTATGCACTTTTGAACCATGCTACCCTCGTTGTTTTGCACTTGCAACAAATATTTGACAGCCTAGTAACCATTTTCTTGTCATTATCATGACAGAAAAAAATAATACAGAGCTGATTGCTACATCAGTCGAAGGACGAAAGTAATTTTGGCATAGAAGAATGATAAAATGCGCTTTTCTTTGTACCATCTAACAAAACATAACACCGTCAAATTGTTCTGTTGCGAAGAACAAAGATGAAGTTGGAATTGTTGGCCAATGAGCTTTTGCTGAAGCTATTCGAGTTCTCCGATGGTTTTAATTTGTTTCGTGCTTTACACAGTCTCAACTATTGTTTTCACCTACTTTCCGTTTTCCATTTTGCATATATGTCAAACTTGAAACTTGAATTCAAGTATTCAATTATTGAATACTTGAAGTTCAAATATTCAAGTATTGAATAGTTGAATAGTTGAACTTCAAGTATTGAATTATTCAACGGCGCTCCGGGGAACACACACCGTAGGGAAACACGCACATCACGATCTCAGGTGTGGGTGCGGCGAAGGGACTGGTCCAAAAAGCAATAATGTTATAATTGAATACTTGCATAGTTGAACTTCAAATATTCAATAATTGAATACTTGAATACTTGAAACAACTTTTCAATAATTGAATTCAAGTTTCAAGTTTGACACTACTGTCAGAATCATGCTGAGTTTGCATTATTTGACAGTCGATACATGGTATTTTTACTTGAATGGACATAAATGGAGACAGATAATTACTTATTATTTGCCTAAGATTATAGTATTTCGACTTTGAGTGTGATCGACTGCTGATGACAAATATTGAAGCGAAGAGGAAGTTGATGAACTATTGAATACATTTCGAATTCTGTTTTGACTTGATGAACATCGCTGCACTGAAAAAAAAATGGTACGATACCGAACCAAAAAAGGTACTTTGAACGAAAAAAAGATTTTGTACATGGTACGGAACCTAAAAAGGTTTCGAATTCGTTGCAATTCTCTGAACCATTTTAGGTTCGGTACAGCAAGGAGGAATCGGCGGATTGCCAGGATTGCCAATCCCATGAAAATCCTGGAAATCCTATGAAAATCCCCGAAATCCCACAGAAATTCCCGAAATCCCACAGAAATTCCCGAAATCCCATAGAAATCCCCGAAATTCCATAGAAATCCCATTGAAATCCAACGAAAATCCCTGAATTAATTAATGTGGATATGTAAAAAATACTGAAATTATAGCTCATATTTATACATATCAGATGCAACTTCATTCAATTCACATTTCTAAAACCTTTTCTCTAAGAAAATAATGTAGAAATGTGGAATATAATTCATTTCTAAATGAGACATCAAATTTCTTTCACAGTTTACGCACCAAAAGCCAAATAATAGCCAATTTTGTGGTAGCCTTGATAAATCACAAGAGTTTCTAATCCTGATAGAGAATANCAAGTTTTCGTCTTTTACGGTATAATCAAGGAAAATAACCTATATTACCGTTCTTATAAAAATGGTTATTATCAATTATTAGAGGATAAACATAAACCGGCTATATGTATCATTTTATATTAATTGATTAAATTCTTCTTATCAATTATTTATTTATTTTTACTCATGGACAAATATTTTTAAACGATGTTATAATTAATTTCAAGAACATAAAGAAACAAATCGTATTAGAAAAATCTCGACATTTACCTGTGGGTGTGGGTGGGTGGGTGTGAATGTGAATGTGGGTGTTGGTGTTGGTGGGAGTGTGTGGGTGAAGGTGAAGAATTAATACTACTCACACCCGCACCCACACCCACACACCGATACCCACACACCCGCACCCACACCCACACACCGATACCCACACACCCATACCCACATACCGATATCCACACACCCACATCCACCCACACCCACCCTTAATATGCATTCTACAGGTAGTTAAATAGACATATTTTAGATTTAATAATTATTCTTTCTGAGTGTATTATGGATGGCACGACCTTACGACGTAACGTGTTTGAACGTTTTGCTCATTTGTTTTAAAATATTTCCCTAAGATAGAAAAATATGTATTTGATATTTATTATCTGTTTTTCAATTGCTTAGTATATTATTGATCAATTATCATTATCGTTTAGATATTAGCATCAATGTCTTTGAAAGCATAGATAATGTTAATGTAAAATTAGAAATTCTGTCGTCAAATTCTGAATTTGTGATCACTCGATTCAACTCCTATGTCTCTCTATTGATAAAATATGATTTCTGAATAATACCTAATCGAGATTTATATTTATGGTGGTAGTCTTCTTTTTTTTATTGCTTAATACATATTTTATTATTGTATAAAAAAAATAATAATTGATTATAAATAAACAAAAGAAATTATAGATGATCATATTGATCATATTTATACTTTTTTCATTGAATTATATCTTAAATAAGATCCTCATTTTACTGAATTGTAGAAGTTGAAATTAGTATATATTTATTTATAAAACGTTTTTTATTTTTTCGATATTAGAAAGTACAATATTATTATTATCATTATTGTATTTAATTATTTCAATAATTAATTAATAATACTATACAAGATTCACAATCAAATAACAATAAAAGATTTATTTTAAAAATAAAAGTATCTTTTCATTTGAACACCGTAGATAAATATATCTTTTTTTTTAAATATTATTTTATCAAATTCGAG